CTGAGAGGCTGGCAAGTGAGGCGGGGAACGTTGGAGTCCGCAGCAAGCAAGCCTCGTGCTCGCTTCAGTGCCTGGCTGCCGGCCGCCATCTTGGCTGACAGTTAATTTGCATATACTCACTGATTAGCCAATGAAAAGGGTAGCGGTCGTACGCCAATTACCATGTTTCTCTTTTATTAGTGTAGATATATATATATATAGACTAGAGGCCCGGTGCACAAATCCATGCCCCAGTGGGGTCCCTGGGCCTGGCCTGTGGGATCTGGCAGAAACCGGCTTTTCGACATCCCCCAAGGGATCCCGGATTGCGAGAGAACGCAGGCCAGGCCAAGAGATCTCACCAATGCATGATTGGGGCTGGGGAGGGATGTGGGAGGTTGGCCAGCAGGGAAGGGATTGCTGGAGGGCTCCAGGGCGTGTTCAGCCCATCTCGCTCAGTCCTGATTGGCTGGACCCCAGCAGCAAGCTAACCTGCTGGTTGAAGTGTCTGCCCCCTGGTGGTCAGTGCATGTCATAGCAAGCAGTTGAGCAGCCTGAGTATATCATTAGTATATTACACTGATTGGTTGAACAGATAACCGGCCACTTAGCATATTAGCCTTTTATTATATAGGATTATTTACTATATTCCCTATGCTGTACTTTATATCCCTGTGACTATTTTTTTAAAATTAAAATACTTTATTATTGAAAGTATTACATATGTCTCCTTTCCCCCTCATTGACCTCTCCCCAGCCGCCCCCACCCCCAAGCACATGCTCTCACCTGCTTACTGTCTGTGTCCATTGGTTATGCTTATCTGCATACATACAAGTCCTTTGGTTGATCACTTACCCCCCTTCTCACACCCTCCCCTGCCTTCCCTCTGAGGTTTGATGGTCTGTTTGATGCTTCTATGTCTCTGGATCTACTTTTGTTCATCAGTTTATGTTGTTTATTATATTCCACAAATGAGTGAGATCACGTAATATTTATCTTTCTCTGACTGGCTTATTTCGCTTAGCATAATGCTCTCCATGTCCATCCATGCTGCTGTGAATGGTAAGAGTTCTTTCATTTTTATAGCAATGTAGTATTCCATTATGCATATGTACCACAGTTTTTTAATCCACTCATCTGCTGATGGGCACTTAGGCTGTTTCCAAATCTTAGCTATTGTAAAATGTGTTGTCTTTTTTCTTGTCAATATATATAAGTGCTCTTTGCTATTCCAGGTAGTCAATTCCTCCTCCCCCCAATTTACTGTTTATCCACAGACTTCACAGTATCTTTTGATATACATAAGTGTTTACATTTTATATAGTTCAAAAAGGTTTGTCTCTTGTAAGTTTTTAATTTTTTTGTCACTATCAGGGGTGGGGAACGTCTGGCCCACAGGCTGTAAAATGCTGGGAAAAATCTTTTGGTCTGGCCTTGCCAAGACATTAGGGGTGATTTAATTAAATGTTTGACCAAATATAGCAGGCATTTTAAAATTGATAATTTTGTATGGCCCATGAATGATGTTATAAATATCCAAATGGCCCTTGGCAGTAGAAGGTACCCCAACCCTGTGCTATAGCATGGTTTATCCTACTCCTAGGCTGTAATGATAATCTAGGGTTCTTTCTCATTTTTTTCACTGTTTTTTAAAATTTATTATTTATTTTTTAAAATATATTTTTTATTGATTTCAGAGAGGAAGGGAGAGGGAGAGATAGAAACATCAATGATGACAGAAAATCATTGATTGGCTGCCTCCTGCATGCCTCACACTGGGGGAATCGAGCCCACAACCCAGGCATTTGCCCTGACTTGGAATGGAACCTTGACCTCTTGGTTCAAAGATCGACACTAAACCACTGAGCCACACTAGCCGGGCCTTTTCACTGTTTTAAGAAATCATTAGAATTTTTAAAAAATGAAGGTCCAATTCTATTTGCTTCCAGATGGACATACAGTTTTCCGGTAGGTACCAATTATAAAACAATTTGATTTTAATAAACTAAAATATTACTTAGTATGTTTCTGCTTTGTCTTAGAGGAAATGTGTCCCTTAGTGTTGGAGCCACGGTGCCTATAAGCAAACCCCAGCCTGACTACTTAATAGTTGTCTGACATTGGGTAAACTACTTAACCTCTGAAACTTAAAAATGTCCAAGTCAGAATTCTTACAATAAGATGCCTACTAGACTTTGGAGAAGTACTGAATAAGCAGGTGAACATATGATTCTGCGAGTCAGAAAAGGTAGTTAAAACCATGTGACTGGATACAGTCACCATGGAGAAAATGTAGAAAGAAGACCCAACACTGAGCCCCAGAGCCTCCAAATTTAGAGAACAGGAAGAAGATAAGCAAGGCGACAGGAGGAGAGGCCAGTAAAATAAGGAAAGCCAAGAGAAGGTGATGTTAAAAGCCAAGTCAAGAAAGTGTTTCAAGAAGGAAGAAGTTATTTGTGTCAGTGCTGCCTAGTAAGGAGGTCAAGTAAGAGAAAACAGAAATGGTGGGGAAGGGAGCCTAACTACAGTGGGTTAAACAGAGAATGGAACAGCAGAGTAAACAGAATTCTTGGTCTTCTTGCTCCAAACTTGTGGTATTAAAAGATCTATTTTAAAAACTGAGATTTTGGAGTTCAAATGGTTAAGACTCCACTGTAGTTGTCTATATGAATACAATATCTAAAATATAAATATTTTACAAATGCAGAGCACAGAACACAAAAATATATATCAGAACAAATATGAGAACACACAAAAAATGAAATATCAGATGACAGAATTTGTGTGCTTCAGTTTTGTTGTAATATTAAATATAAACATTTCTAAAAAATAAAATATAGCCCCGCTGGCATGGCTCAGTAGTTGAGCTTCGACCTATGAACCAGGAAGTCATGGTTCGATTCCTGGTCGGGGCTCATGTCTAGGTTGTGGGCTTGATCCCCAGTGTGGGGTGTACAGGAGGCAGCCAATCAAAGATTTTCTCTCATCATTGATGTTTCTATCTCTCACTTCCTTCCTCTCCAAAACCAATAAAAATATATTTTAAAATGTCCTATACAATAAAATCCTAATATGCAAATCAACTGAATGGCCCTAGCAGGTTTGGCTCAGTGGTCATGTCAAGGTTGTGAGCTTGATCCCCAGTGTGGGGTGTACAGGAGGCAGCCAATCAAAGATTTTCTCTCATCATTGATGTTTCTATCTCTCACTTCCTTCCTCTCCGAAACCAATAAAAATATATTTTAAAATGTCCTATACAATAAAATCCTAATATGCAAATCAACTGAATGGCCCTAGCAGGTTTGGCTCAGTGGATAGAACATCAGCCTGTAGACCGAAGGGTCCCGGGTTTGATTCTGGCCAAGGGCATGTACCTCAGTTGCAGGCTCCTCCCCCACCCAGGCCATGGTCTCGGCTTGTGCAGGCGGCAACCACTCGATGTGTTTCTCTCACATCGATATTTCTCTCTGTCTTTCCATCTCTCTTCCACTCCCTCTAAAAATCAATGGAAAAATAACCTTGGGTGAGGAAAAAAACAAACAAACAAACAAAAACAGCTTTTGAGCCATAACTATGAGACATGCCAAGTCTCAAGACCTCATCTGATACTGATTTAGCCAGTCAAACTACCAGAAGAAGCAATGTAATAGCTAAAGCTCAAGAGCTTTAGTATTAGCAATGCAAATGATTCTTGTCTATAGAAATGAAAATTGTTCAGGTGGCAATGCAGTTGATTGATAACCTACATATGTGTATGTTTTTTGAATGCTCTTTGACTTGGTTGTAATATCTTACTCATTCCTCATTATTGAGTGAAATGAAATCTTCGACACATTTGTTTTATATCTTAAATATGTTTTTATTGATTTTTTAAAAATTATCTTTTTCATAGATTTTCTTCTTGATTTTTAGAAAGAGGGAAGGAGAGAGAGAAATATCAATCAGCTGCCTCCTGCAAGCTTCCCACTGGGGATTGAGCCTGCAACCCGGGCATGTGCCCTGACCGGGAAACAAACCAATGACCTCTTGGTGCATGGGATAATACCCAACCAACTGAGCCACACCAGCGAGAGCATGTTTTGATCTTTTAAAAAATTATTCTTAAACATGTTTTATCTATTTATTAAATGATGTTTAATTCAAAGACGCCTTTATATATTTTTAATGTGAGAAAAATTCCAAATTAATAAATTCTATTCTAACATACACTTAACATGCAGTTTGTAGCAAGACTAAATTATTAAGTTTAAATTGACTCTTTTTTTTAATTTGTCAATTTGTTAAGCACATAATTATTAAAACATTTACCTTTGGTGCACCATCCTTTTGTATGCCTACATCATTAGTGGCAATTCCTTTTATACTACCATCTTCATGAAAAAGGACCTAAAATGAAAACATATTTCATTATCACCTTAGGATTCATAATGACCTAGAAAAGAAACAATAAACAGCCTTAGATTTTTTTAGAAAGTGAACATGTTCTCTAGATTATAGAAATACAGGCTTTAAAACATCCAGGCAAAAGGAAAAACATGTTCTTAAAATACTGCCTTGTAGAATATGAAAGAACACAGCTCAAACAGCTGGAAATGAAAGAAATGCTACCACCTTGATCAGGAAGAAAATGGGGAAGCTACCAGAGAGCTCACTAAAACATCAGTAAGATGAAACCAAAAGCTGTTTGAAGAGTTCAGATATCAAAAACATGTACAGAGCCAGAAATCAAGGCCTGTAACAAATGAAGACCATCAGCATGGATGGAAAGCAAAGTATCAGGAAAGCTTCTGTCCCAACTGAGTGAAGACTCCCTCCCTCTCCACCCCCGCAAAAAAGAACCCTCGAACGAAAACATAACAACAAAACAAAACAGGTTGACAACAGCCCAAAGCTGATTAAAGTTTATTTCTGGAGCAAGAAGAAAGGGGAAAAACTGGTCAAAAGTATACTTCTGAGGATGAGAAATAGGTTATTCTGCTTCTGTTTCCTCTCTGGAGGAAAATGCTCTTTGGATAGGAAAGTACAAAATGTACATTAGAAGCACATAACAAAAAGCACAGTAGTGGAAAGGTAAAATAAGGATTTGCAGCAATGGAAATAAAAAGAAAGAAAAAAACATTTTACTTGATACCTTGAAAATGAATTAACAGTAGAATATAGCTATGAACTAGAACTGAAGTCTGGCTCAGAGTCCCAAAAAACTGATATCCTATTGATAATTAGAGGCCCAGTGAATGAATTTGTGCATTCGGGGGCAGGGGTGTCCCTCAGCCCAGCTTGCAGCCCTCTCACAGTCTGGGAGCCCCGCAATGGATCACTCCAAAGAGGTAGGCCCTGCCCAACCACCATAGAGCCACCACAGGGTAGCCTGGGCCTCCCTCTTTGGGGCGATCATGGAGCCCCCTGATTGATCACCCCACCGGCTGGTGGCCTGGGCCTCCCTCTGTGGGGTGATCATGGGGTGATGGCAGGGCCCCCCTGACCAATCGCATCGCACCCGCCTTGGCTGGCCTGGTGCCAGTGAGTGTCATAGCGTGGTCATCTGGATGGTCATTCTGCTGTTTGACCGTTCGGTCGATTTGCATATTATGCTTTTATTATTATAGATCAGCGGTTCTCAACCTGTGGGTCACGACCCCTTTGGTGGTCGAACGACCCTTTCACAGGGGTCGCGTAAGACCATCCTGCATATCAGATATTTATATTACGATTCATAACAGTAGCAACATTACAGTTATGAAGTAGCAACGAAAATAATTTTATGGTTGGGTCACAACATGAGGAACTGTATTTAAAGGGCCAGAAGGTTGAGAACCACTGTTATAGATGATCTTTAAGGAAGTAAGAAAAAGAGGAGGTACTAGAGCAGGGGTGGGCAAACTTTTTGACTCGAGGGCCACAATGGGTTCTTAAACTGGACCGGAGGGCCGGAACAAAAGCATGGATGGAGTGTTTGTGTGAACTAATATAAATTCAAAGTAAACATCATTACATAAAAGGGTACGGTCTTTTTTTTATTTTAGTTTTATTCATTTGCCTGCGGGCCGTAGTTTGCCCACGGCTGTACTAGAGACTTGAGTGTGTATGTACTCTAAAAGTAAAAATCATGGATTCTACACACCACCTATTTGTGATTTTGACATGAATCTCAAGAACATTTTAACCAGGAGAAATGTAAAGCTCCAACCTTGGGCCCAAAATACAAAATGCATATGTATGGGCTGGAAAAACAAATTAGTAACAGCAAGTATAATACAGGGACCTAAGAGTTTTTATTTGACTTACACACTGTAAAGGTAAAAACAAATACAAAATTATTTTGAATTTCCCCTGGCTCAAAAATAAGAGATTCTTTCAGCAAATCTGTTAGAAAACTTAACTGTAAACTCATTCTCTGAGATATATGTGAATCATTTTATTTCATTTATTTTTTAAAAATATATTTTTATTAATTTCAGAGAGGAAAGGAGAGGAGAGAGAGATAGATAGAAACATCAACAATGAAAGAGAATCATTGATCGACTGCCTCCTACACGTCCCTTCTAGGGATCAAGCCTGCAACCCAGGCATGTGCCCTTGACCAGAATCGAACCCAGACCTTTCAGTCAGCAGGCTGATACTCTATCCACTGAGCCAAACCAGCTAGGGTGAAGATTTTGTTTTTAATAATTTCCCCAATAGTACTTAGTGAATATCAACAGTATGATATGGTTGCCAAAAGAGTTATTTTGAGAGAATTAACAGAATAACATTTTCTAGAATGAAGAAGGTAATGGCCCTACTCCACACTAGGCTTGAAGTAGTGTATGCATTCTGGGTGCCACCTAATAAGGGAATAAAAGGGAAATGTATTCAGAGGAGGGCAATGAGAATACTGAAGGAACTCAAATTATTGACACGATTGAAAGAACTGAGAATGTTTAAGCTGGGAAAGAAAAACCACAAGAATAAAGTTAAGGAAGAAGAAAGAGCAGGGCATAATTATAAATGAAAGGTTTCTTTCCAATTGGAAGAGGGCATAGATTTGTTCTATATAATATAAAATATAAATTTCTATTCAATATGAGAAAGAGTGCATTATCAACAATCCATTACCAAATGAAAATTTAGAGGTCTTTTCATCCCTGATGGGATTCAATCATAAGCTGGACCATCATTTGATGTGGGTATAATATAAGGAATTCAAGTACTCTTTGGATTAGATCTTTTTAAGATTCCTTCTAATTTTGCAATTCTAAAATCCTATGGCTTTTCCTTTTATTTCTTTATCTCTGTACCATTCTTTGTTTATTCTAAAGAAAACATCACTTCCTATAAATATTAAACACAAAACAAAACTATACAAACCTCAGCAGCAGCATAACCAGGGTATACTTCAACACCAAGGGCTTCTGCTTGTTCTCCCATCCAGCTTACTAAATGTCCCAAGCGCACAATGTAATTGCCATGATTATTCATTGGGAGACCTACAAATAAATGCTTACTTTATAAATCTGACTTTTTATTGATAAAACTAAAAAACATAAATACTTAATTTAAAAATTCAATCAATGTATAATTTCTGCATAAACATACACAGTCTTTTATGGTCACAATTTTAATTTCTATGATTTTGATCTAGAACTCTATTAAATTAAAAACAATATTACAGCATTAAATTAAAAATTCCTGGTTGGCTTTCAAGACTAACTCAATTCTTCTAGACTGGAAGACAAAATAACTGGGTTCCAATCCTGCTTCCCCCTAAGCTAGCTGTATAACTCTGGGTAAAGCCTACAAATCTCGGGCCTCAGCTTTCTCATCTGTAAAAGGACGGAATTTCACCAGATGAAATGGAGTTCCTTCCAGTTGTAGAATTCTATAATTCTGTGATTATTTATCATATCTTACCTGGAAGAATTGGCACAGGAATTCTATATTTCTGTGTTAAAATTGCAAACCTGTCTTCTGTTACAGGAGTGTTAAGGGGAGCCTAGAAATAAAATATGTTAAGAAAGGAAAGTTTTAGTTCATATTTGTAAGGGTAAATACAAATAAAAAACAAAAAGTAAGGAGCATGGATGGACCTTGAGAATATTATGCTAAGTGAAATAAGCCAGTCAGAGGAAAGACAAATACCACATGATCTCAATTATATGTAGAATCTAATGAACATAATAAACTAATGAACAAAATAGGTCCAGAGGCATGAATGCATGGAACAGACTGACAGATCTTAGAGGGAAGGTGGCTCGGGAGATACAAATAACCAAAGAACTTATATACATATATGCAGAGCACATGGACACAGATAATAGTGTGGTGAAGGCATGGGGTGAAGCAGGGGCTGGGTGGAAGGCGTTCAACTGTCAACAATAAAATATATATAAATAAAAATTTAAAAAGGGAACTACCCTCCTCAATTTTCTTTCATCATTTTCTTTAGAAAATTTGGACTGTCTTTGTCTCTTTGAGATGTATGGGGATCTTTTTTAAACTTAAATAAGCCAGTTTTGCATCCCAGGAATGTCTTTCTTGGGGACCTTGGAGACATCTGTGAAATGTGAACATCAAGGAGGATGGCTTCCTGTCTCCCTGTCTGTGGGAGTTTAGCCTAGGAGCTTGCTCCAAGTTGTAATTTCCTGCTTGATGAAAACATAAGACAAATTTTATTTTTCCTTTGGAAAAAGATAATTAACATGTATACAATAGATTGTTTCTGCCTAGATACATAGGGCTTTGATGTGAAAAACTTTTTCTATTAGAATTGATATTAGTCAATAATCATTCATTGATATCTATTTCTGATATAATATTGAAAAGAGAAAGTTAATTAGGCATAATTAAAGTATTTCTACTTTAAAGGAGCTTGATATTTTAGAAAGAACAGCAGAAGTTAAATTTTTGGAATTTAGCTTACTCCACATGGAAAAAATACAGCAATATTTATACAATGTTTTACCTTTACAAAGCATATTCACAGATACTAAATATTCTAACCTTAAAGGTAGGATATATATAATATAACCCATCTCACATAAGAAAAAACTGAAATATATAGAGTATAAAATTTTAACCAAGTCATACAATTATAAGAACAGTAAAACCAACACTTGGTTCTCTGCATATCGTACCAGTGCCTTTTCGGCTTAGATGTGGGTGACCATGATTCATTGCTTTAAAAATTAGATCAGATTATCCTCCTTGGCTTTAGCTATTGCAATGTCCAGGAAATTAGATAACACTTTATTAAGAACAATGATGTAAACACTTATGGAGAAAGTTAGGAAATGCCCTCAAAATCAAAATGCTGTATTTTTTTTCAGTACAAATATTAAAAGATCTCCTCAAAATAATGCCTTCTCATAAACTCAGTACATAAATATAACATGTAGAAGGCATTATACAAAAATGAGTTAATACCTTAAAATTATAACTATATTTGACATAATTTTATCTATTTTTGCTCCTTTTAAATAAAAAAAATCAGTAGTTATCCTTTACAAGATATAATTACATAAAAAGGGTTTCCATTATGCCAGTAATTTGGAAATAAAGATTCAATAAAGATTAGACTTTTCATAAAAACCAATTTTTCATACTCCCTTCTCCTTCCAGTCTGGGAATAGTTCTTCAAAAGCACGTGGATCAAGGCAAGCCCCTGAGAGAGTATGAGCTCCTATTTGAGCAGCTTTCTCCACTAGACACACACGGATGTCCTTTTCTTGCTGAGCAGCCAACTGCTTTAGCCGAACAGCAGCAGACAGCCCTGCAGGGCCTGCACCAACTATTACTACATCTGCTTCTTCTGCAAACCTCTCCATGCTCACTCCTGTGAGGAAAAAAGTTTAAGAAGTACATAAAAAGTCTGGGATGAATATAACCTGCCAAAATCACATAGTGGCTTATAAATACCCACTATGCTCTAGAACAGTGGTTCTCAACCTTCTGGCCCTTTAAATACAGTTCCTCGTGTTGTGACCCAACTATAAAATTATTTTTGTTGCTACTTCATAACTGTAATGTTGCTACTGTTATGAATCGTAATGTAAATATCTGATATGCAGGATGGTCTTA